CAGAAATTCCCTACACCATATTCCTACACCACAGGAATGCTAACTAATTGAATACTTTTTGGTAGCAGTACTCAATGTTCTAAAACACTATGAAAGGCCAGAAAAACAGTTTTTTGTCTTCAGTCATGATTTTAGCTACAAAAAATTAGCAACTTAAAACTTGTTCGCTCTATAATTTAGGTAATACACCAGACTTCAGGTTTATAGTCTGTACATGAGCAAGTAGAATTGTGATGCAAAACAGAATGAAAGATGAACAAAGCTGTCCCTGAGTGTAAAGTTTTGGCATATAAAAGTGTTATTTTATGAGTCCAGTGTATGCGCCCGTGTGTACTTTTACCATGTGCGTGCTCTACGGAGGGCGGATGTCCTTTGCATGGAATTTATTTTTCGTTGAGAACTACTTGTGCAAATACGAGAGGCGGAAATCATAAATGAGAGGAAGAGAGTGCAACAAGGGGGAAGAGAGACCTAGAAAGGATCTATTGAAGGAAGGAGCGCTAAGGGGGGAGGAAGAGATGGTGCACACGAGTGCCTCTTGAGAGCTTTCTCTTATTAGCCAGGCTGAATCACACGCTTTGAATCTGGAAAACACACACTTTAGCCATTTTCTTGTCTTTCTCCCCATTACCTCCTCTCTTCCTCTACAAAGCAACCTCTTCAGATTCTTCCGTTTTAGTTCTTCCCATATTCACTACTTTTCACTTCTAGCATCTCAGTTTAGTTTATTCTTTACTTTTTTCTGCCTTCATTTTAATTTGCTTTCTCCATCTAGGATATTCATTCACCGGCTCCTATTGACATTCTTTGTGCACGTCCTCACTTCATTGGCCTCTTTATCCCGTCTCATCTGTTGATTCATCTAAAAATCTCAATTATCAACTCCATAAACTAAATTGTGACCACCAGTCTTATATTTTCAATGTCCGTTTTCAGTCATTTCTCTGTATCTCAAAATATGTCATGAAGTCCTTTCTCCAAAAATCTTCTTTCAGTTTGTATTCTGTTCATTATTCATTTTACAAAATGATGCTCTTTCAAATTAAATCAGTCCTCTTCTTGCCACTTTTTCCACCTGTTTTTCTTCCCATCAAGTCGCTTCAGTATTGACAAATACATCTCAGACAGGTATAAATGTTGAGAAATGAAATGCATTCTGTGAAACATCTGGTCCCTTCACTTCTTTGAGGTGTATGTGACGGATACCTTCCGAACATGTCCAAAAAACATCTGTGGGATCCCTGTTTAGCTTGTCAACAAATTATCTATGTTACAGTGTGTGGAAAAGTAATGCTAGAGGATTATTTAGCTATGGCAGCCAATCTGTCTACACCACTGAAATGCTAGACAGACAGGAAACAGTATATCAGTCCATTACCAAGGTATCAAAAAATAAATTAGTTAAATCACCAGTGCTTCTAGTGTCAAAGAAAATGACCCTTCACCTACCAAGCATGGGCTTCAATCTTTGGATGACACTCAGTATGATCAATGTGAAATGCAGCTCTGAGTTGTTTGCATCCATTTTTAAACGTGTAGACTTATCTTTACGGACGTATCTAAGGATTGAAATACAAGTAAAATTGTATTTATTTTTTTCATTATTATATTGTCTAATCAGCTTTGAGGGCATCATTTCTATCAGTCCCCTAACGCTGAAAAGGGGAACAGAATCAATGGATTTCAGTGTATTATAAAATCCTAGGAAAATGAAATACAATTGAATTACAGATCAAAAACACAAAAAATATCAAACTTCTAAAAAAAACTCCAATATTTTCACCAAGATGGTCAAAATTATAAAATGAAAGAAGGTTGAAATGAAGTGGAAATGCTTGAGTATAAAATAGGTGTGTAAGTCGGCAAAAAGGTGAATTTGCTATGTATCCACTTAAAGGCATCATCAGATTACTCAGATCTTGAAGCATCACTGAATGTCTTTAGATTGACATAATGTGATACATTCTGAAAAGCAAACATAAGTTATTAGCAAGGCCAAGACATCCAAAACATCCAGTTGCATTAAATACTAAAAGGAATTAATAGTCTAATATGTTTTTCAATTAACAAACCCATTTTTGTTCTAATTGAATGCAGAACAAACCACCCCTATGAGGACCTGCTTTTATTTCATGCTTTTTCTTTGTTTCTTGTTCTTGTACTACAATGCCCCTCCTTCCTGCGCTGCCAAGCTCACTTCACTTTGGTCTCTCAAGGCTGATTGTTTTCTAATTGGTGGAGTGCCAGAGGTCGTGGTTGTTATGGTAACCTGTGAGGGGTACTTGGACCGGTTGGCTGGTGGTGGATGGGTGACGGCGGGAGGAGGGGCAGCTGTTCGTGAAAACTGAGGGCTGCTCTCATCCAAGGCTTAGCAGGTCACTTCAGAAAATAGACTGGATAAGTGTTTGTGCATTTTCTCCTGGTGGAAACTGATTTCCATATTATAAAGACGTCATAATAAGTCCACAAGTCTCTTAAGAAATATTTGAGGTTTTAAATTAATGCTACAACTAGACTGAGGCTGGATTACTTATTCCTTTTTTTGTAAAGTTGGAGAAAAGGTCATGGACTTTATAAAGTCAATAACCAAAAAGACATTATCAAATTTTAAATTAATCTGATTATTTAAAATAAACCAAAATCCATCACATTGTTTACAGTATGAGTTTAGATGATGGGTTATTTTAAAGGCACTTCTAAGAAAAAAAAAGTAAAGAAAAACATAAAAACATGGGGAATAATATGAAGAAGGTTACTGGCCAACAAACAAAGAAAGTATGATTGAAAGGGAATGAATAATGGATGCATAAATATGTAAACTCTGTATGAACTTTAAATAAATTGCATTCTCTATGCCTGTATCTACCGATGCACACATTTTGCAACTCTGCAGTCTAAACAGTATGTCCATTGAGAATGAAAATAAATGCTAAATTGATTTGGAGTCTATCATCTTGTCATCAGGTGACACGATGATATGATTCATAAACAACCTACACTGAATAAATTTGTTGTTTTTTCCTTTATGATATGCTTTTTGTGGCAATCATGAACATTAAAATTTCCAGATACTGTGCAACTGATTCAGAATTAGACAGATAAATTAGCAAAACATTTTGACATTTGGTCTTGGCAATACTTTGGAAATACATTTTATTTTCCAAATCAATAATTACAGGAGGTGTAGGATACCTAGTATAAAACAAGGTATATTACACATATTTAAATATATGCTCATGAGAATAAAAGTGCTAAATACACTAAAGATTAACACCTTTGATCAAGCTTAATTGAGCATTCTACATTCTGTCATGATGCACAGGTGTTGGTGTTCAGTTAGAAGATCTTGCCTATCAGTTCTCTATAATTGTCATTCAGGTCTTTCCATACAAGCTAAGCATTTCGATTTTGACTGCAGCAAAATAGTTTAACTCTGCTATGTCTTTAACTCCCTGATCTGAGTTTAGACATTAGACATTTTGTTACAAGGCAACACAATGTTTTTTTGGTGTTTTTTTTTTGGTTACTTTACAAGCATTTACCAGGGTAGTTTCATAAAATGAAGAAACTTTTTTTATCATCCTCATTATTAAGAATGATACATTTATTTTAATAAAATCCAATGAAGTACTTATTTTTTGTCAACAAAAATATTTATTGCCATCAAACAGTTTCTTCCCATAAACACTATTTATTTGTAGCCTGTCATTCCTCACAAAACACATTTTCTGAGGTGTGGGTGTGCATTTTAGTGCACATGTCTAAGCAGCCATGCTTCACTGCTTTGCTAATGTACTGATGGAAGGGAGTCCTTGGCGATCCTGTTTATCTCTGTATCCCACATGCCTCCGGTGGCTCTGACCTCCGTTAATGCACACATACAGATACTGCTGCTGACACACCACCTTCTTTTTCCAGCCACATCGATTACTGTCAGCCAATACCTGGACTTCCTTTAGTCTGCAACATCAGGTTTCAGGAAGTGATGATAAATGAACAGCACTATCTGCCAAGACTGCCGGTCATGGTTAAACGACTCCAAAATCAAGACCTTCTCTGACTTTTGCTACTTCTTTTGAGGAAATATGGGCATCTTGGAAAAATAAATACTAAATATTATAAAATAAGGAAGGAACTAAGCCATAAAGCGCCACCATGTCTACAAATAAAATCGAGAAAAATACCCTCTAATAATAAACATATCAGACTTGTTACAAGGTGCAAATAAAATAAAGTGCTTTTATAAAAAAAACATCTCAAAATGGCTGGGATTAGCATACTTACCAGCTAACATCAGCATGGAAGCCAAAGCAAGCTGAGAACATTTACATAATTCAAAATACATGAGGGAGGATTTTCATAAAATATGTCACATGTTTATCCACATGTAACTTAAATGAAAATTACTTTCTTTAAACATTCGTTACCTGCTAAACCACATTTTCTACCACCTTAAAATAAAACATGCACTGGTGAGCACAACTCTCATACTTAATATGGATCCCATAATCTGATGTAGAAGTCAAGGACAAGGTATTGAAATATATACGATTTTGCATGAAGAAAACAATACAAGAAAGGGTTCTAGGAAACGGCTTCATCGAGGATGGAGCTGTCCATCAAGATGTTTGGCATTCTCACTTTTCTGACAGGTACACAAGGTGGGAAGATGAATGCGTGTTAGAATATATGTACTGGTAGACATGTTCCAGAATGAGAGAACTGTTACTGATATGATAAAATGCAAAGAAGTAGGAGTATCATACTGAAGCTTCTAGAAGAAAATTCACTCACTGAAAACTCTCAATGTTCTTTCGTTATCATTAATATTATTATTTTATTTTTGGTTTCACACATAGTCTTTTTGCAATCATCTGCTGGATTTTGTCATTTTTGTGTGTGATAAACATAGGAGGTTATGTGCTTCTATGAGCTTCAAATATCAAAATACCATCTATTAAAAAAAATGATAGATGGCTTCATAGATGCCTGAACCCTACCTGTCACTGGGAGGTGCTGGGGAAGCAGTGAGTGGTGACGTAGCTCCAGAACCTCTAGGCTTGTTGACTTTGGCATACAGCCTATCAATGGGGTCATCATCAGGGAGAACTCCAGCATCGTTAACATGCTTCCCATGTCCTGGGAAGCTGGGAGGGCCCTGTGGCGAAGGCGAGCGGGCATGAGCATGCTGAACTGAACTGTACAGAGGTGACTGTGGCAGCGGCGGTGGCCCTGAACCCATCTCTCTGTCCCTGAAGGACTGTATCCTGGCATAGTTTGGGTCAGCATCGTCATCCTCGAAGTGTGGATATGCTGCCCCACCACCGCCACCCTGATGGTCTCTGGGCAGTTTTTCCTGCAGCTCAGGATGCACAGCTTCAATCCTTAAATAGAAAAAAAAGGAGCAATTACTCCCTGCAACAGAGCAACAGTAAGTAATTTAGTAGGCTACTAATAATTCACAAACAAGAACTGTCATAGAGAAAGAGCTTTACCAAAAGCATGCAACAGAACAAAGTTGTTAGCAGGGAAACAGTAGAAAATCCTGTGATCAAAGAACAATGTGTGATAAGTTTGCTAATTGTATTTTAGAGAAGGTTCTTTACCTTTCTCTCTCTTCTCTCATCCTTTCAAGCTCCAGGTCACTCAGGACGTCTGATTTTTGTCGTTGCACAGCCGACTTTGCCTCCTTCTTCTTTCCAAACCTGGACACAAACAGAAAGTGAAATACATAAACATGTTGACTAAAACATCCCATTGACAAAAAAAAAATGTCTTAATAAAAAAGCATGTTATTATAGATGTCATATGAAGCCCATAATAAAAGATATGTTTACCCTTTTTCTGCTTTTTCAGGTAAATTATGATCAACAACATGTGCTTGTTGATTTACCCAGCTGATTTACTCAAATTTCTATGGTTAAACTGTTGAAGATCTGTCAAGTTGCATGGGAATCAGCTGTTAACAGCCCTTTTCTGGTCCTGCCACAAGTTCTATCAGGTTGAGGTCTGGGCTTTGATTGGTCCACTTCAGAACAGCCACCTTGTCGTCTCTAAGCCCTTGTATGTCTAGATGGATCCATCGGATCATTGTCTTGCTGGGAATCAAAAGTTCTCTAAAACCGCAATTCTTTTGCAGATGGAAACAAGTTGTCATTCAGGACTTCTGCCAAACAAAACGTCTTGTCTGATGGCCAAAAAGCTCTTTTTTTGGTCTCACTAAACTAAAATAAATCTCTTCCCTTTGGCTGTACAGTCTAGTGTCCTTTCAGTGGAATATTAGTTTTGCTAAACACATATTTAAATTTTAGGATTAAAAAAAGGAACTGCACATTTTCTAACCTTGTTTGCCTAGGCTGTATTTCCTGCTAAAGTTTTCTAATTTTTGAAACAAAAGTTTATACAAATCTTATTGTGTTTATAAGCTCAGGTCTTGGGAGGAAATGTGTCATTATAATCTCATTGAAAGTTCTCCATTTTGTAATTCAAAAGTTCAAACGTACAACATGCTTTAATGCTCTGCCTAAATGTGTCTTAAAAAAGCTGAAGCTTATTAAAGTTTAGAGCATAGCTGCGCAGCAGGTGCCACATACTGAATTGAGCCAGTCAAACCTGCTAAATAGTTAATATGTCCAACACGCCAACTGTGACCTTATAACACAGCTAATGTTTTATTTATCAAGTGAATATATTGATGAATTATCCTTCTGTCTACATTTCTGCTATGTAATACCGTGGACATTTTTGAAGTATCGGTCCCCCTGCTTATGTATTATTTAAAAGCAAATCCAGTGCTACATTACACTGGGACTGGCTTGTTGTTTTGGTTTTAATAAAAACAAAAGTGCACTTTGAACACTGGGGTAATAGGTTTCTTTGAAATGCCTAATGTGGACTGGGGGGTAAAGCCTATTTACCACCCATGGAGGAGTGGCTCCATGGGCAATGAAGGGCTCCGATCATCTGTGTGTATTAGCAGCATGTGTGTGTATTTGCCACACAGGGGACAAGCCTCACTTTAATTACAGCTACCTACAGAGGCTTACCCTTTCTTTCAAATCTCTCCTCCCTGCACTCACCACTCCTTTTGCCACGGTTCCTTTTCAAAATTTTCACTTCTTTATAGCAGAGCTGTTTCTTTTCACTCACTTTCTTCACTTTACCTTTTTCCCATGTGTCCTTTAACTCACTTATAACAAATTTTCCCACTCTTTATCAAGTTTTTCTCTCTTGAACTTTACCCTGAACTTCTCTGCTATATCTACCACGACTGAAAATGTGTACCTGCAAAATATGCAAAAGTATCAATGGCATTTTGCAATATTCCCCCTCTATGGCAAGTAAACACATCAGTGTTAGTTAGGATTCACGACACAGAGTCTGCTGCTGCAGAAAGAGTAAAATAATCGATCACTGCTTTTACAGTTTAACAGGAATTCACCAGTTTAGTCAGATAATGCAACAAAATTTGGGGATTATGATTTACAAGTTTCTTCTCCAACTAGTAGAAGTTTTTTTCTGTGACTTTTAACTTAGCAGTCAGTTATATACAAATAATAATGAAAAACAATCCATTACTTTACTTTTGTGCCTAACCCTAACCCTAACCCTCCTACTGATGTCCTTGGCCCTCAGGCTGCTGCCTCAGCTGACAACAGCAGACATGGTGGCTCTGGAAACCAAAGACTCATAGAAAATGCGCAATATCTTCTAACAAATTCTAAGTTACCTGAGTCGTCCAATTTATAATCCAAATACATAAGCAATAATTATTCATCATGTCTACTGTGAACCTGGCCCTTCTCAAGTGCACAAACAGCTCTTTTGTTTCTGCCCCAATGAGCTCTAAGTGATTTTCAACAAATATTGGTGTACAAAGTTGTTCATCCTATTATCACTTATGAGCTTACTGCAGAGTCATCAGGACTTTTCCGTACATGGCAGGTGATTTCACCAGTAGCTGAAATCACTAGTGTAGAAAGTACAAAGGAAAGGATAGGGAGCATAAAAATCACACAATGGGGCTCACAGATGCTGGGGTACTTGTTTGTGTAGAGGAACCTTCAGTAAGGCCAGTAGCTAAAGATCTCCAAAATTCACAACTCAATTCAAGATGCAGGGTTTCCTTGAATATTTTCAATTAACTAATACTAAGGTAGACTATATGTGACTGGATTTAAATCTGACCATATGTCTGGACTGCATATGATTAAATTGGAATGAATTGCATTTAATGTGGAGTAGCATAGTTGTTAAAAATGTCATCTCAACTGGTTTGAGATGATGTCTGTGATGAAAAAGAACCAAAAAAAGGAAGTGGATCAAACTAAAAACAATATCATTTGATAATGCAATCACACTGCTGATGAGAGATAACAGAGGGAATACTACAACCAGTTAATTTCCTCAAATAGGAAACTGAAAGCCAGATAATAACTCTTTACTGCGTCATTATCTGGCTTTACTGCGGTGTAATGAATGATCAGTTTCTGCTGAGGTTTCAGATACTACAGCCAGAATTTGGGATTAAAAGCATGAATCCCCAAACCTTTACTGCCTTATGTGAACAATTCAGGATAGTGGTGGCAGTAGTAAATCAATGTACAGAGTGCTTTCTTGGCAAGGTTGAAGCCCCATAATGCTGATCAACAATCATTCGAATGCCACCGCCTATCTGATTATTGTTGCTGACCATGGCTGTCCTCCTGTGGTGACCATTTACCTTATTGTATGTGTATAGCATGAAGATAAATCTGAAGGCTCTGTTGAGTTAGTGTTTCTGTGATAGTTGGTTCAGTGATTGTAATTATTCATTGTTCTAAGAAAAAAATAAAATAAATAAAAACAATATCCGCTTCAGGAAGTCTGTCCTTATTTCTGCACTTTTTGTATTCTGCAGCATTTTGTGGGTTTGAACACATCACACAGTAAACAGATTTCACCTAAGGTACTAGATATTAAAATATTAACCATTGTCTTAAATGTCTTTTTTTAAGCCATTACAACTTCTTCCATAAACTTTTTTTTCCTTTTGTTTTTGAAAAAGTGTTTGTGACAGGAGGCTTTGGATAATAAATGAATGTGATATTTTGCTTTTGGACTTGTGAAACTTTGTTACCTGGAACATGGACATGTAGATAAACAAAAACAAAACATTATTGTTATAAAATTATCCAAAGCCCATGTTTGGTTCCATTGTAGTTAACTGTATTTTGTACTACAGTGGACCCCTAGTATTCAAAGAGCTGGTAAAATCAAATAGGTAAAATCCTCTAATATGTGGAAATCCCATTAAAATGCTTATTATGAACCAATGTAGTAGTACAAATACCAAAAATACCTTAATATACATTAATACACCCAGTAGACTCTGTCTAAACGCCATCGGAAAACTAACATCCACATTTATCCTCATCTCCACTATTGGGACTACAGTCAATCAGCATCAGCCAAGAAATTTGGTTCTGACAGGAACATGGCAGTATGAAAACAGTGTCAATAAAATATTTTTTCTCTATTTTTCTTTGTTTTTCATTTTAAAAATTACCTGCCAGTCTTCTTTAAATTTAGTTGAGAAATGAAAGCAAATTTTATTCCAATTTGATTATTCTAATTTGAATTGTTACTAACAGTTCTGGCCTTTGTAATGGGCATGGAGGACAATGCATGGATCTCTTCTAATAATGTTGTTCATGTCCGGTTCTGGGAAACCTTTCATATTTCTATTTGTTAACTGTTGGGAACACTGGCTTTGAACTGAAATGAATGTATGTCTCAGCAGGAAAAATATATAATTCTTGTCATGTTTCCTTTTTTTGAATAATTTCTTGAAGTCGTTAGAGCTGCCTGACAGCAAGTCCAGTTTAATATTCGTTCATTTCAAAGATCTTTTGTCCAACAAGAACTATTATTTAAATCACATACCATTAGCTAGACGTAACCACTGCACAGGAAAATGCAAAAGAAGTGACTAAGGACAGACTAATTCACCTGTGGTTTTCATTTTCAAGTTCTTTTATTCCTCTCACGTTAAATGACGGATTAAATGTGAGGGCAGAGAGGAGAAGAAGTGGTCGTACAGAAGTGAACCAAAATCAAAAATGATTAATAAACAACCACTGTTAGCACAAGACCATCTAGAACAAATTTACACGTGAGAACATTGTGGCTCAAACACCATTTCACAAGGAATATGAGAGTAAGATTAACAGATGATTAGCAGCCAGTTAGGAAGAATGTATTACCTCTTGTCCTGTCATTAGAGGGAACAGCGCAGTGACTAATGAATACTAATAAGCTAAAACCACAATCTGCGTAGAAGGCTTTTTGTAAGGGGAAAAACATTTAACCAAGCTTCTTAGCGCCTCTCCCAGCAGGCGAACATGACATGACAAAGAAATATTTAGTAACTAACCTGTATTTTTTCTAAATACTTACTAAACTAGGAAAGGAAAAAATAAAAGCATATTGTACTATCAATATCAATATAAAATGTCCAAATAATAGTTAAAAATTTTTGTTAAGTGTATTAGGATGAAAAAAAATCTGAACATCTTAACTTAAAAAAATAATAAAATCAATAAATCTGCTAGCATACAGTGCTAATGTTAAGCAGAAAGGGCTGAGTTTTTAAAACGATGATAAATAGTTTATTTGCAACTTTTGGTGCATTTCTAATATTGTATGAAATGGCTTCCTTTTTTAC